GTTCTTTCTAAGCTTTCTTTGATTTTTTCTGAGATGAGGCATTTGTTTTTATACTAAAATATCTGAATTACTTTGAAGAAAGCTGAAAGTTATGTCCCTTAAAATAATTAAACAAATTAGGCACCAATGTTTTTGTAAGATATTGACATCTATCAAGGACATTCGGTAGACTGATTCCCCTCTGTTGTTTCAACCCCAAATCTTGTTTGTATTCAAAATTAATTATGACAATGCATATGCATATTGAAACAAACTATGGAAAGGGAATTGTATTACATTTTTTAAAAAGGGCAAGGTCACCAGAGTTCAACTATGTTTAATGTTATTGTTGACTACCGATACTTAAAAACCTTTACTCTAATTGCTTGATATGTGTACTTTGGATGGACCTCTATAAGATTAGTTCTTTCTGTGCATTAGGGGGGACACTCAAGGCTCTGCTGACACAGCGGCAATTTTGAACATCAGATCACACGTTTTTTATGAACCTTTCAATTTAAATGCCACCAACTCCACCACCACCACCACCACAACAACAACAAAAACAAACATATAGTTGTCTTGAGATATTGATTCAAATGTGATGTATTTACAGGCTGCATTCTTACTCCCGGTTTTAACCGGCATGATAAAATCCGGCCTGAGTGGCAGTTCATTTTCTGAAGCAGTAGAGCCTCAGGCTCTAGTGATCACACCAACAAGAGAATTAGCTCTCCAAATACATCATGAAGCTTTGAAGTTTGCTTATTCTACCATATTGAGACCTGTAGTTTGTTACGGTGGTACCAGTGTTCAACATCAACTTAGAGAGTTATCACGAGGATGCAACCTTTTGGTAGCCACTCCAGGAAGACTACTTGACTTTGTTGGCAAAGGCAAAGTAAGTATTTCCAAATAACATCTGTTTCTGTTAAGCATTATAAACTTCAATATTGTGGATCAGATTGGTTTTGCAGTTTGCATCTTGGTAGCAGAGCTCTATTAGTCATACAAATTAAATATTCCTTATTTGTACTTCATATGCTTCCAATATTCTTAATAAGCTTTCTATAATCGATTTTTAATTGGTATTTGTTGTGATCCCAAACGAATGTAATTGTTTATACAGGTATTGATACTATTTTTTGGGGGAGGATAGTTTGTTTGTCATTCACAGGTTTTGTGGTTTCTTCATTCAGGTTGGTTTAGGAAAACTGAAGTATCTTATTCTTGATGAAGCTGATCGTATGTTGGATATGGGATTTGAGCCAGAAATAAGAAGACTAGTGGCCAGTCCCAATATGCCGAGCAAAGAAGATAGGCAAACCCTCATGTTTAGTGCTACATTTCCAGAAGAAATTCAAAAACTAGCTGGTGACTTTTTGAATGATTATATTTTCCTAACAGTTGGCCGTGTTGGGGGCACCACTCCAGATATTGAGCAGTCGGTTGTTCAGATGGAATCTCAGTTTCAGAAAAAGGAAAAACTAATGGAAATACTTAGTAATGTTGGTAAGAATAAATATTTTCAGGTAGTTATTTACCTTACATTCTTAACTGACTTTAACAATTCAAAATAAATTGGATTTGAAGAAATATAATTTCTCCATTGAAATTAGCACTTTATTCGCATGTGAGGTTAATGAACTTTTTCTGTTTACTATCTATTACCGTCCAAGGGTAATTTATTCCACAGTTGGTTGGCTTACTACTTTATTTTACACTATTTTTACCACTGCAGATTACAGTTGTGTAATATCGTAAACTATTATTACTATAATTATAATTTATAACATGGGAAATTGAACACCCAAAGCGCATGTTTGCATTATACAAGACAACTAAATCTATTAGTTAAAGCAAGGGTGTCATCACATGCCTATGCGTCAGGTGGCTATAGCTTGTCACTGTTTACAAACAAGCGTCTACCCATGAGCCTTTGCGTTTTTGACGTGTATTATTGTCACTTAAGACTCAATTCCTGCACGTGTGCAGGTGAGACCCTCCCACTTTAAATTTGAAATTGATTGAGTTGTTGTAGCAGGAATGCTGATTGATGGATCCTGTTTCTTGCTACTCTCAATCAAGATTGTCAAGATCACATGCAAGTTCATAGATACATCCATGGATAGTGGGCTTCAGCAAAACTGTACAAATCAGCTTGTCGGATTACAGGTTTCATAATTACAGCAACACTTTTTGATTGGTCACTGCTAGAAATTTGTGTTACTTATCAATGTTGAGGGTCACTGACCTTCCTCAATTTTCACTGAATTGCATGATTGGAGAGGTTTACATTATCCCTTTCCTTTAATATTGCAAAGGCTATAGTTGATGTCATCTCTTCTTTTCCAGGTACGGAGAAAGTTGTGGTGTTCGTTGAAACCAAACGAAGTGCTGATTTTGTGGCTTCTTACCTAAGTCAGTCTGGCTTTCCCACAACCAGTATTCATGGGTAAGTACCCCATGCGTACACATATTCGCCTTTCTATACATGTAAAAGCCATATACTTTCAGCCATGGTGACTACAACTGCAATACTTGCAGTCATGGTTGCTATGACTGCAATACTTTCAGCCATGGTGGCTGTGACTGCAATACTTTCAGCCATGGTGGCTATGTCTGCAATACTTTCAGCCATGGTGGCTGTGACTGCAATACTTTCAGCCATGGTGGCTGTGACTGCAATACTTTCAGCCTAGGTGGCTGTGACTGCAGTACTTTCAGCCATGGTGGCTGTGACTGCAGTACTTTCAGCCATGGTGGCTGTGACTGCAGTACTTTCAGCCATGGTGGCTAAGACTGCAATACTTTCAGCCATGGTGGCTGTGACTGCAATACTTTCAGCCATGGTGGCTATGACTGCAATACTTTCAGCCATGGTGGGTGTGTCTGCAATACTTTCAGCCATGGTGGCTATGACTACAATACTTTCAGCCATGGTGGCTGTGACTGCAATACTTTCAGCCATGGTGGCTATGACTACAATACTTTCAGCCATAACTCTACATTACATCTGCCTGAATTCCTGTAAAGAGTCATCACTTGTACATATGGTTAATCTGTATGCATAGATGACCTTCTCTACCCTGTGATATAAACTTCAGACCATATGCTGTGATATTCCCTTCCCTAATTTGTTGTAAATCTCTTGATCTTGTGTAATCTGTTCCATCAATGTAATAATATCCCATCTCTATCCTATCATTTTCCCACCCTTACATACACTCGGCAAGAAATGTGTAGTTTAACTTCTGAGAAGACTTTGTGATTTTTATTAACATGGTTTATATCAATCTATACTTCGTCTAACAACAGAGTTGTAATCTTATATTTTCAGAGACCGCTTACAGAGGGAAAGAGAAGAGGCCTTGTCTTGTTTTAAGAGGGGTGAGACTCCTGTTCTTGTTGCAACGTCGGTAGCAGCAAGAGGTTTGGATATCCCTGGTGTAAAACATGTTGTAAATTTTGATCTTCCTGATAACATAGATGAGTATGTACATCGTATTGGACGTACTGGTCGTGTTGGTAACATAGGAAAAGCTGTATCTTTTTTTGATAATGACAGAGATACTGCGTTGGCGAGACCCCTAGTCAAAATACTTTCAGATGTAAGTAACTTGTGAAATTTCATGTATTTATAAGAGAATGGCAGTTTTACAAAATCATTATTAAAATCCCACTCAATACTTGAGGTAAAACAGTCAGCAATTTTATATTTGCAATTATAAAGTTTGGCTAAATTAGTTCCAGTGCTATTTTTGACTCCTGTGTGCTTCGCACACAATGGGAGTTATTGCAGTTACCCTGTCTGTCTGTCTCTGTCTGTCTGTGTCTGTGTCTGTTCATTCCACTGATATCTCAAGAACAGTATGTTGGTGTATAGATGCTCTGGGCTAATGCGCAGATTTGATTAGGTTTTGGGTAAAAAATCTATGCATATAATTAACCTAAATTGCATAATGATTAGTCAATTTTTGGCTTTTCCACTGATATCTCAGGTACAGACAGATATGTGAAATATTAATTAATTGTATATTAAATATTATTAATTTGCATAATTAATAAATTTGCAGCTTTTGATATTTCAAGTACTATTACTTCATTACTTTTCAATGAAACTTGGTACATAGATGCTCTAGAACAATCCAAAGACCTGATTAATATGCACACATATTTATTTAAAATTAATCAACTAATTTGATTAGGTACTGTCACAGGGTGCTAGTTGGGTTGAGCTAAGGTTTCAAATTGTCCCAAACAAATGACACCCATAACACCCCTGTGAACTGGGTCCTTTAATAATTCGAAACTTAAGACAGTTGTATAATTTATATGCGACATAAACAACAAGTACACGCTACACGAGTAAGGTTTAAACAACGTACTTTATTCCACACACCTAAAAG